TCATATAAAATGCCTTGACAAGTAAATATGTGTGACCAGATTGTGCGAAATGTATCACACTTTTCAGATCAATAACGTCTTCTCAGTGTTCAATCAAAATTTATAAAAAAGGAACTAATTATTTTACATCACATGTGTATTCTACTTATCTGATTTGCCTTCTCTCAACACGCAGTGCATCCAAGACATCAAGGAGTTTTAGATACTACATTCAATAATAAACCCTCTGAAAGAGATCACTGATATTTTGAACTTAGTCCCAGGTTGTCAGGTGCCTAGGTCAGATAATCCTTTAGACTACATCACCATTATCTACAACGACAAAACTTTCAGGCTTGGTTTGATTCGTTAATGGCACGGAGATAGAAGTCAAGAAACTAGAGGTTTTTTTTCTTTATACTTCTCAATAACTTCGTCAGTAACATACTACAAAATGACGCTTGGAAACGAATAGGCTGACAGAAAATATCAGGCAAGAGCAGCATGAATTTCCGCTGAAAAAAAGTTTACTCTGGTTTTCGATATCCATAAAAACTTACTCAAACTAAGACGTATTTCAGTGTACTGCAACTACACTAAAAGGCCAGATAAAAAAAGAACACAGGATGAAACGCACCTCCCTTCATGGCTTATTAAAATGGTGGAAATGGTAAATTTTGTTTGATTCTGAATGGTGATTGTGTCAACTATCAAAATGGCGAGTGGGAGTTTGATTTATGTATCTAATTTTTAAGGTTTTATCAAATACAACATCATAGCTATTTCTCGGACTTCGTTAGTTAAAGCAAGCATATGGAAAGTGTATACGTCTAAAGTGAAAGTCACAGAACATAATTACAGAAAATTATAAGAATAATTAACTATCCCAATCTATATATATAGAACTATACTACCATTTGACTAGAAACATAGCAAAAACAGATTTCATACAGATACAGAGAATAATTTGAAGATAATGATGGAAAATATATATATATATGTATAAAGGAAATAATTCCGACTAAATCCAACTTGTAGATTTGTGATGTTGCAATAAATAAACTAATGGAATTGATTGTGTATCTTTTAAGTAAAGAGAATTTCTACTTCCCATTACCTCTCTTTTGCTTACATACATTTATCTACCTTAATAATAAGTAACTACTTATAACCATAAACAAAATGAGGAATAATAGTACTAATAAATTGATCACCAATCTTCGTTCATGTAATCTTAAGTCATTAATCATTTCAAGGGAAGGAAGTTTAGGATTATTTTCGAAAGATAGAAAACATATGACATGCAATTCCAATGGATTACCGAACATGGAATGTAAGAGTATTATATAAGATTGAGGTAGTTGAAATAAAGAGCGCAATTCTTATGTTTTTGTTTAAAATATACAGTGGAAATACCGTTGCATGCCGATTCAAATGTTTCAAGTGACAATGAAAAATTGTTTCTTTTTGCCATTATATTGTAAAATTGATCATGTTAAATTGTGCATTGCTAGGTAGTGTGTAAACTGACAAATTGATGCTTACTCTAAACCTTTATCTGATAGCAGTATATTTTATGAAAAAAAAACAAACAAAAATATTGTGTCACATGGATATTTTACACGAAATTCATTTATCCATTTACTAACATGGTACTTCTGCGATACAGTCGATGTCAGTGAGTGATCAAAAACCGAACATCAAGTGGTTACGATCCGAGGCTTTCTAACTATCTAATTGGGTTACTTTAAGTGTTCAAGAAGACAGATAATCGATATCTATGGGGATAAATTTATGTCGTTTTTTTTGTGATTTAACAGGCAGAGTAACCTATAGAAGTTAAAGAATTCATTCAACGTTTTTTCCGGATTTCTGCTTCAGATGGAAGCTAGATTGTTGTCCCCACAATAGGTTGTTGCTGATGGTGTCTGGGCAGTGGATGCTCAGTATCTTGGGTACACGGTGATTTCATGGACCCATGATCATCAAAGCATCTCCCAAGACAAAGAAAGAGGAGAATACAGTGAATATCATTCAGTACTATGCGCCCATCAACGATAACAGTGAGGATAATAAAGACCAGTTGTATGAGGCCGCAGTCAACAGCTGATAAATTCCGAGGAAAGGTTTGACCATCCTGATGAGAGACCTAAACACCAAGGTTAAAATGGGAACCTGGAAAAAACGCTGAAGGTGGATAGGACGCCCATTGTGGAAATCACCTAATCGTATCATGTGACAAGCTCCAACTTGGAATTCTCAAGTCAAAAGGAAAAAAGACAGACTAAAGAATACATTACGCCGATAATTGAAGGCAGACATCAAAAGAATGAATAGCGATTATGGACAGCTGGAAGTAAAAGCACAGGAAAGATTTGGTTGGACATTGCTGGTCGAGGGCCTATGATCCTATGCTTTCTGATTTGTTAACAACGAACAAACAATTTTAGCGACTACTTTAGCAATCCCTAAAGCTTGTATACACCCTTACAATAGTATAAGAAACAGTGGGTAATTTAATAAAAATCTATTTGATAAGTATACTATTTACGCACTGTTGCTTTTTATCAAGAAAATAAGTGAACCGTAAGTGAAACTACATTCTCTTTTGTCGAAGTTATGAGGTTTGGAAACAGCATCATTTGAGTTATGGTGTAGAATTCATAGAAAGTCACTAATTGCTGATCGTTTTATAAGTATTTACTTAAATGACCATAAACTGCAACCATAAAGTATGTAAGTTGTGTTACATTGGCAAGAGCGTACTAATCGTCCCATAATATACAAGATATACTGTCTTACGAAGCCAAAGACATGTGAGATTCGTATGTGTCCTAGTGTGAATTATGTAAGCTGAGGTAAATCTTATTTCCTAAATGATGTCTTTAATAAGTGAAGTGACCTGAATTCAGCCAAATATACAAGTTTTGGTATCAAACACGCCTTAAAATTATAACTAGGAAACCGAATATGAACCTTGCAAACGTTTCAATTTCCATGTGAAATAAAAGGATAATAGATAGTATATCATAATTAATTTTTCTTCCTGGTTGAAAAGGGATGTACTGAACAATGACTCAACGACTTATACAAACCTGGTTAAAGTAAGAGACAGTCAGGCAATAATATTGGTGGACACAAGTCCATAATATACAAATTGGACGATTGATTTTTAGAAACAGAGCTCGTGTTTTTACTTTCATATTACTGTATAATACATATGTATAAATATGGTTAGATTTGAAATAATTTGAATTAGCCCACTGTTAATATCTTAGCTGAAATTTGATCAGTATTGGTTGGCATATGAGCGAGCGTCCTGAACGGATTGCTTCTATAGAGACTGTACAAATATGTCGAACCCACATGGCTCGTCCCATCCTTTAGATAAATTAAATTTAGATAAATTAATGAATCCACTTATCTTGAGTTATCCAAATGTCTTTCGACGTTGCCTATTATTTACGCGCATTCGTGGTTGCTTTTATTTGGGACAGTGTGTGCAAACCTAATTCACTCATTACGTGTCGAGCCTAAAATTGCCTGACTATAAAAGAGCAGTCATGCCTGATAGCATTGAGTTAGCTCACTCGCATTCCCCAATTCAATTTGTTTTGCCTTTACGCTTCGTATTGTCATATCTGTCTGTGTGAACGAATTCATGGAATAAATTCATCTGCGAAACCGTATTTAGCTTCATATTACCACCGTCACACAAACGGGGTTCGCCTAAGTATGATATACGGAAATTGAAGAGATTTATTTCACAGCATATTTAATTTTCCATCCAAATTGGAGTCAGATCGCGGGATACCAAAAGATATTATGATACAAGTTGATGTAGAATATACGAGGTGTAGGTAGTAATCGAATCCACGATGTGCATTTGATCATATTTGACATTCATCAGCTAGACTCACTTGAATCCCGGAGTTTATAACCAGTTCAGAACCCAAATTCAGTACTGTTTGCTCCAAGTGATATCGCAAAATCCATTTATTCGACATCAGCTTATATTATAATAGCTAAACCGAAGTAATTTGCACAGAATACCGTTATGCTAATCAAGAATGATCAAATTTCAATCAAGTTATTAATAAAGGGATAATTCAAATTATTTCAAGTTAATCTAAAGCTTATATACCCACTGTACAGGTGAGTGACTATCAGAACTCAGTAACTAAGTGGATAACGCGATGGCTTTTGAGATAGACAGTATTGTGTTTGAGTTCAGAAGTGAACATCAACTCTGGAATTCAGATACATTCAGCTGACGTGTCCCAAACATAATGCTATGCATGTCGTGGACTCGATTGATAGCCACATTCTATTTACTCTACATCCGTATAAATAGTGTATAAATGATCTTTCAAAACATAAGGCGAAATAACATAATCAAAAACAAAAAGGTGAGATTCAAATTGTGTAGAATATGAATTTTAAGCCAAAGATAGAATAATATTAAATAAAAATTAGGATTTCAAAATGTTAAACTGAGAACAAGAAGTGTAAAGTTAACCCTAGTGATCTTAATTAAGTGTACACTATTTTGGCATGTTGCAAAACACAATCATTACTAGCTGAGTGTTTTCTCTACAAGTTACTGAAATATAAACAATATCCCACAAATTTAATGATAACAGACTATACGAACTAGTGGCATACGAAATTGACGAAAAATTATCTTTCAGTAGACATCAAAGTCAACCGAAAACATCAACTTTAGTGGCTTGAGCAAGGATTAGTTCAGTGCGAAATAAAACGGCAAAAATATATTATAATCGGTGCATCAAGCAAAGAGACAATATGCTTTTGATATAGTTATACGGAATTAAAGAAAATTATTTTACAATTGTATCGATTAATCGCGTTGAGACTCCTTAGATAAGATCTTAGATATGATGCGGCTGTGTGTACTGACATTCAAACAGATATGGAGCATACTTGCAGAAGTAATCATCCAAAAATTAACCCATCAAAATAACACAAATTTAAAAAACAATTATTACTTAGAAACATACCTCTATCAGGAAATAACTCTTTCATCAGTTCAGACATTTCCCAGAATCCAATACGAAGTACAGCGGACTTAGTATTATCTCCTAGCTTTAAACCATCACAGATTCCTGCAGCGATCGCTACAACATGCTTGATACCACCACATAATTCAACTCCTACATCATCCTGTGTAATGACCATTCTTAAGTAATCTGTCTGTATTTACATAGAAAAATTATTTAAAAAAGATAAGCGTTATTGCGCAAGACAGAATAATGTAAAAAATGATATTAAATTGAGTTCACGAACCCTAACACAGCTTTAAACCCCACTGTAAATGTAATGGCCTTTGACAGTACATGATTACCCAGACCGAACTAGACTGAGTGGGTTCCAAACCTGTGACTTGAATGCTAAAAGTCAAGTCCCTTAACTAATAAGACACCAGTCCGGAAAAATATACAATAAAAGCAGAATAATTTACTGATCCACACACATCACACAACTAATTAAAACCAAAAAGTACTGAGCAGTTGTTTTGTCCTAGTACTGAACTCCCTACGACCCTGGTGAGTGGATTAAACTCAGGATATTCAAACCTATTGGCATTGAGTACTGATAGCTTTCGATGTCTTAGTTAAAATGGGAAATTTTGAACACAGGTTTCATACTGGTAATTCACAACTAAAAGTAGTTTTAAAAATAAGAAACCAGAAATTAACAAAACAGCGTTAGTTCAAAAAACTTCACTTTCAGCGAAAATAATTCACATAGAAAATTACAGTCAATATTATTTTTCTTAATGTTTACAAAAATAGCCCAATTAATTTAGACAATAAAGTTGACTATGGACGATAAAGATTTACGGAAAGTATAAAGAACAGCGTAACCTTCGTATGTTTACATAATGGAAAAAATCTGTCTGAACTTTTTGTAGTCAACCGGACGATTTAATAGAAAATATTACAATTCACACTTGACTTGATTATTTTTACCATCGAAACATATTAAAAATTAATTTTCAGAGACTTTGTAGAGATCGATCTAATTTGCAAACCTGAAGGTCCTAGTTTTGGTATATGATGGGGTGATGAGTACACGCTGTTGATGAACCTTAAATCAGGACAAAACAGCTATTTAGTACTCCCTGGTTTCTAACTTCACCCTAAGTAAAATCAATTTGTGATGAATGATATCTACATATCAAACATTTATAGTTATGAGTGATGCAACAATGTTTTTCAGTACGATTTCGAATAAACAGTCAAACTTTTTCGATTTCGATAGTTTTATTGTACTGATAGGCCCAATACAAAATGGTCCAAAAACTGCAATTGTGTGTCGAGTAGTATTATTGAATTAAATGATACTTTGGCCAGAGTATAATTAAATCATTTAGAAAAACAAGTCCAGTGATTCCGAAACACTCATTCTTTGATATGCTTTCAGACTGTAGTTAACAGGGGAACAAAGGACACTCTCTTGTCTGTTTAAAAATTGGCGATTAGAGTATTTGATCGGTATTGGTTGGTTTTTCAGATAATTGGGTTTTCATTTTTCCCAGTTCTGGTGATCGGTATTTTCAATACTATCTAAAAGAATGAAGACACTGCAGCACTACGGTTGAACAGAGAAAGGAAAACACATAATAAATGGATTTAAAATAGTAGCTACTCACAAAATGTCATCAAAAAATGCGTATCCAACCGACGATTAAATGCTTACTTAACGATAGAACGTATCGTTCTATCCCCAATAACGAATAAACTATTAAGACTACTAGAAAAAGATAAGGCCAATAAGTCGACAAAATCACTGCAAACAGTGCTATCAAAACCAAGAGACACAATGACTAACAAAGACAAGCCAAAAATCATCTACAATACAAATTTTGACAACTACGACAAATACTATATTGGACAAGAGGGAACGCCTTTTCGTCTAAGTCTACGGTAACACCTGTTAGCTATTGATCGGCACAAAATAACCTCGCTCAAAACAAGGCATTTGGACAACCGTGAGCATACGTTCAACTACGAAAACTTCAAAATATCAGACAGACGAAATATACAGAAAGCCAGAGAAGTTCTGGAAGCCCGAAACTCCAATTAGGCTTCAGTCGATAGGCAAGCAGAAATCGACTGAATTTATCAACCAATACGATCAAGGATTAACAAAAGCACGATAAAAGTTCAGGCATGGAGAGAAAACAACCAAATCAAACATATAAGCAACGAATATACAATTTGGATAACAGCAGGTCAACAGAACAAAATGATAGCCACTGGTGGGGAAATTCAAACAGCCCATCATCATCATCAACAGCAACGTAGAACTTTGCACGTAAGTGCAGAAGCTCAAGTTACCATACCGCATTAGCGCAGAGATGTAATTGTCGATTCAAATCCAATAGCAGTAGAGGTAGTAACAGTGCTAGAAGTAATCGGAAAGATTAGGGTTCGAAGATGTTATTCAAGAAGTTTAATTCAGTGAGGTGAATTTAGAAAGAGAAAGACAGAGGTGATGAGGAATTCAGAAGGTTAGAATTTCATAGAACACAAAGAGTAAATGCACCTGCGCCATCGGAAACGGTTTTGAGCCATGTCACTCAGCGTCTCTAACCATGGATTACCAACATCTCACGGACCCCAACCAGGTAGTCGACACCTACCGACGTGACTCAGTCCACTTGTCAGTAACTTCATCGATTTGTGCCATGTTTTGTTCTGGCCGCCCCTAGCTTTCGTTCAAGCTATTACTATATCGCAAAACATAGCTCGACCAGGCAGTCGGTGATTAGCCAGACGTAACAGCTCACTTCTCTCTGAAGTATGTTTCGATGTTTTTAATAAGAACAGTGAAGGCTTCTTAACCAATCCATCCAGTTTATAGACCACAACAACCCAAAAATCCTCATCTTAAGTCGCAAATATTCTCCATCAGCCATCTGACGACTGGTTAATAGTTTTGGATGAAATACCAAACACTGTTTCACTAACTTATGTTTTAAACTCAAAGATCAGATGTATCCGATAGGCTCTGAACTCAGTTTTATGCAAAGTAGAAAAGCTTTCAAGAAGCAGAGGTGATTGGCCTTGTACCGTATATTATCTCTTGGTATATGGTAGGTACGTGATGGGAGTGTGAAGAGGCCGCTTATTTGTGAACTGGTCATCTGAGCAATGTCACAGACATGTCCCTGTTTGATACAATAAAGATACACATATATAACTATGAGTTATGTCATCACAGCTTTTAACGCATTCTTAGTTTTTTCACTTTGCATATACTGATGAATGAGCGGTAAGGAGTGTACGTTGTGAATAAATTGGA